TCAAGATAAATATTATAATTTATACATACAAAATAAGATAATATGAATATTTTTAACTATTCTGTCAATTAATAGATCTCAATATATATTTTATTTTTTAAATGTCTTCAGATGCATCATGCGTCTATAAATGAAAATGAAGAGCCGGTAGAACCGAAAGAATGATTGTTTATGAGTTTATAATATGAATTACGATAAGACAATCAAGGGTTGTTCTTAACACATTTAATATCTTCTATCTCAGAAGATTGTTTTTTTTCCATAACAATAGGAGCTTCGTTAAAAGCCTCTCATACAAAGTCATACCGAGGCAGAAGCAATGGTAGCCATGGAAGATGGGTTAATTCACTTCCTTTTTTAAGCAAGAGACGGTGTCAGAAATTTATTTTAGGGTCAAACTTGAATTATAGATTTTATGAAAGTTAAAATATGATTTTATTATTGTATTGGTTTTTAATCTTATTTTGTATTTTTAGGATTATAATTTTGTCATATGTTAACTTATAATTTATATTTTGAGTATAATTTTATCAAATCCATAGGCTACAATACATGTCGTTTCGTTTAGGAAAGACAATTTGACTCGAACATGATGAGTTTTGTTCTGACCCTATGATGCATATTTTCTTCTTTTGAAATTCGGGTTCGAAACAGATCGAAGCAGGAGTTGAGAATGATAAGTTGGTGTCGGGCGAATTTTGGTTTAGATAAAAAAATTATCAAGTTGATGTATTTTTTATTATATATATATTTAAATAGTCTGAGCTAATTACAAGGTAGTATATGTTTAATTTTTTTAGCCATTGACAACACACACATCTTACAACTTGAACCCAGAACTTTAAGGGAGAACAACATTCCCTTTAGTTATTGAGGCCACTCAATGAGTTATTTAATTATATATATTATATTTATAAAAATACAATTATATATATATGAGGTAGGATCTAATTACACAACATAAAAATTTTCTTGTATTACACTGATTTAGGACCATTAGATGATTGAAAATTGATGATTGAGATTAAATGTTGAAAATGAGAAGTTTTTTTTGGGGATGAATAACACTCATTTCAAATTATTTCTCAAATTGATATCCTTTTGTGTCACAGTAAAAATCATCTTATGATGATATATTTACCTTATGTTCAATCACTCATTAAATGCATGTTTAAAATGTTATATTTAAACACTTGAAAAAAACCTCATATTTATACAATATGAGATTTGAGAAGCTTATGGCCAAACACTTTGATTTTGAGCTGTCAAATACAAGTCTTGATAAATCCTATGTTAATATGACACTTAAAGACATTTTTTGATACTAACATTTTAAATATTAAAACTTAAATGAATTTGGCACACGTAACATTTTTTCCAATGATTAATATTTCAACAATATAATGTTGTATTTATCCATTTCATTGTAGGTATTATACATACAAACTTTCAATCAATTTAGTATTTCTATTATATTGAGCTAAAGTATATATTTTTTACAATGGTTTTTTTTCATGAAATAAATAATTAAATATTTTAATTTATTCAAAATTGTTAGGGGCAAAGGCCGTCTGGCCAATGGAAGAGATTCAGTTAGCAAGCAACTGTGCTTGTTAACTAGTTTCTTTTGATTTGAGACATATATGTATATAAACTGATAATGTAATTATGTAGCAGATAATTTCGTTAATTTTATTCAAACATTTAATATAAAAAGAGTCGAAACAACCATCAAAAGACGCTTTGGCCGAGTGGTTAAGGCGTGTGCCTGCTAAGTACATGGGGTTTCCCCGCGAGAGTTCGAATCTCTCAGGCGTCGATATCATTTTGTTTTTTCCTCCTTTTTCTGAAGAAATTTTCTGTCTTCTTCCTGTAATATAAAGTTTATGGAATAATTCATATTAGAAAATAAGTAAATACTATCATATATTAATAGCAAGCAAACATCACTTTCCGTTATAATCACGAGTTACCTTGAAACAGAACAACCATCCATTGCTTTATTCATTATTACTTTCTAAATAAAATCGAATGCTTCCATTAACTAATGTTTATATATGTTGCTTTAATTATCATTTATTTACTTTAAATGTATTTCTTTTATTAACTCATCTTTTTACTCATAGTCTAAGGTGGCGTTTGGTTCGCTGTAATGTTTTTGAGGGAATTGAAATCTGTGAAGGAATTGGAATCTGAATCTGAAACCTGTTTGGTTGGCAGAAAATTGAATTGGAATCCAATTCCATATTCTGTTTGGTTCACAGACATATGATGAATTTGATTTCAATAATGTAAAATGACTGAATTACCCTTCTTGTTTTTTTGATTAATTTTAGTTTGTGTTATAACTAACATGTAGCAATATATTATAAAAAAATTTTAAAAAAATATTAAAATTTTTATTTTATTGATTGATTATTCATTTCAATAAATTATAAAAATCATGCTAATAAACATCATACGTTAAAATCATCTCAATCAAAATATGTTAATAAGTTACCAAAAGATAGAGCAATATTTCGATACATCCCAATCGAAGTATGTCAATTAGTTACAAAAAAATATACCAAAAAATTACAAGTCAAGGAAGGGTTAGCACCCTTGAACTGCCCTTTCGGTACTACATAATTTTCAGTTGTCTTTAATTAAGAAGATTGTAACTTTAAATTAAAAGGTAAAAATAACTATCTCAATCACTTACCTCTGATGGATTTGGAAGTGTACCCTTAAAAGAGTCAAGAAGCATGTTAGAAAAAAAGGCAATGAAGATAAATAAATTAAAGAAAAATAAAATAAAGGAAATAAAAATAAATGAAAAAAGGAAAATAAGATAAAGAAAAAACATGAAAAATTAAATAAAGATAAAAAAATTAAATAAAATAAAGAACATAAAAACAAAAGAAATAAAAAAATTAAGAAAAATAAATAAAATAATCAAAATAAAGATAACGAAGCAAAATAAAATAAAAATAAGAATAAAATAAAAGAAAATACTAATAATTGTATATACATAATAAATAAATAAATAAATAAATAAATAAACAAGAGGAAAATACAAATGAAAATAAATATATAAATAAAACTATTATAAAAAATAAAATAAGAAAAGAATAAAAAGAAAAAGAAAAGAAGAAAAACAAATAAAATAAGAAAAATAAAAAGTAAAAATATGGAAAATAATGATGAGGGTAGTATGATCAAATTCCACATTCCTTCCTCAAAAAGATTTTAATTCTCTCATGTTATGGATGAAATTTACTTTCCCTCCCTTGATGGAAAGTTGAAGTCATTTAGGATTCTAATTCCCTTTGAAAACTTGAATCAAACATGAAAAAATGGTAGAATTGAATTTCAATTTTCCCTAATTTCAAGAGATTCCTACGAACCAACCACCACCTAAGTGTCTAACTAGTTCAAGCATTTTCTTAATACGCACTACTTTCATAAAGTTGGTTTCTTTCTTCCTTTTATTTTTTTTTGTTCCAGCATGTTGAAGGGTTTTATCTTATTTTAATATTTTAATATAATTTTTTTGTATTTTAATTTTACTAAATTGATTTTTATATTATTTTTAATCTAAAAATATTAGTCCATTCATAAATTTTTATTTAATTTTATTGTTTGAACTAACATTTATATATATAAAAAAATAACTTGTTAGTCTTTTTAGTAATTACGGTAAATGACACAAACGGTCTTCCGACTATAAGATATTGTTCCGTTCAGTCCCCTAACTATTAAAAGTTACAAAATATTCCCTCGATTATAGAGAGTTACTTTATTGAGTTATTTGACTATCAAAAGTTACAAAATGATCATCTGACTATTCATTATGTTCCAAACTCGTCATTTTCTGTTAAAAAATTAACGACAATCTAAGCTGGACGTTAACATGTTGATTGAGATATAATAACCGTTAAAGATTATGATATCATATTTCATCATATCTCAGTCAGCAGGTTAACATCCAACTCAGAATGTCGTTAATTTTTTAACGGAAAAATATGAGTTTGTAACATAATGAATAGTTGAGTGACCATTTTGTAACTTCTAATAGTTGAGGGACTCAACAAGGTAACTCCCTATAGTCGAAGGACTATTTTGTAACTTTTAATAGTTGGGGTACTCAACAAAATAACATCTTATAATCAGAGGACCATTTGTGCACTTTACCCTAATATTTATGAATCTGATCTTTTAAAAAATATAAATTTAGATAGCTAAAAAATGATAATTTTTTATATATTTTAAAGATTAAAGGTCAAGTTTACTTAAAAAAAAGGTATAAGTGCACGAGACTAATTTTTTTTTTATAATTTTCAAGCCAATAATTAATGATAAAATTGTAGAAAAATTTAAAAAAAATCAATTTTTTATATAAAAGATAATATATATAGATACTGAGTCTTAAAATTATAATTTTAAAAAATAAATTTAAAATAATAAAGCTTTTATCCTTTGATATTATTGTCATCTCCAGCTGGGGATATCAATGAGAGTGTCACCACCTTTATAATTAGTCTTATAACTAGAGAGCCAACCATTAACGGCTAAGCTAGCTAACTAACAACTTATGCAATGCAAAATGATACAAATTGACAATTAAAGTCAAAGCTAACTAAAGACTAGCCGAAGGAGTACTTATTATACAAATCCACGTCTCAACCATTAGCTTAGCTTAACTAAGTGACTAAACAATGATGAACCGACATGGTGGTCGGGACAATCATCTCTGAAAATTATTATTTTAAAATTTTATAAATTCGCTAGAAGTTCACATTCCTATCATAAAATTATTAGTCCATCCCAATGATCAAATCTAAATCTAAATAAAAATATTATAAACATTTAATCTCAATTAATGAAGTTATATGCATGTAATGCTTCCTTTCCAAGGTAGAAATTAATTAAGGTTTTATTATTTATATTTTTTGACCACAATGTAATAATAATCTATATCTAACATATTTTCTCTCTCCACTTGGCATGCTTTGTACATCAATCTCAATAATATTCCTTGAGATGTTCCTTTCTACAATCTGCTCAAATACATACATTATATTATAATGAATTATATGGAGCTCTGGAAATCAGGGAAAGGAAAGGGAGAAACATCATTCATCAAATTCTCCAAGTCCCATTCTCCAACTTTTAGTTCCTCTCCTATCCAAAAGCTCCCGACATCGGCGTTGTTCATGTTTTCCGACATGTTATTATTGTTATTGTTTCTGACGTTGATGTTCCTGTGAATTGTATTTTTAGTGCTTTTAAGGTCATCTCCAAAGTTTTCTAATAGAGGATCATATAGTTCCCTTTTTCTCCCATTGTCAACACTTGCAAATATCTCATTATCATCGGAGAAACCCGAGCCTGTCGGATCGAAGTATCCGGCAGCTGCCCCGAACTCATTCCGACCATGCTCAAGCATCAGTAAAGGATTTTCAGTGTGGTTCGGGACCATGGATTGAAAGAAAGAATTCGATGATAAATCCTTGTACATCGGGGAAATCTCTCGTTCAACAAGCATCGACATGAACCCCGTCCCTACCATGACATCCTTGTTATGCTCTGACGCCGCCAAATCACTGGCGTTGAACGAGGCGGTAGATGACAGATGCTTCATCCTTTTCTTTATCGTTGAATTCAAAAAATTCTTTATCTCATTGTCGGTACGACCAGGAAGACGAGCCGATATTTGAGACCACCTAATTGAAGGGTTTGAAAAGGGTCAGGGTCAGTCTATTTCCATCAATTAGGTTTTTGCATGTTTATTGCATAGATAAAATGCATGGATGCTTAAATCCTACACATGAGATTTGATATAGATTCTTGATACAAAAATTACAAACAACTTGTAATATTCACACCATTTATTAACTTTATATTTCCATAAATAGAGTACACAAAATACTTAACAATGAACAAGCTTTGACTAATTTACGTGTATGGATTATGTTTTCCCCCGTAACACTTTTTTTTAATTTAATAGTTACTTTTGCTTCTTATCTCTCCACCAACTACATGATTAGAGGGCTTTATGGCATGCATGTGCAAAATTAGAGACCAAACGACAAAGAGAGCTGTTGATTGGTGCTTATCTTTTTTGATCCTGATATTACTCTAAACGTCATTACCACATCATCTTCTCATCACTCAGCCCTTCATGTTTTGTCTCAGTATAATTTCTTAATAATAAGCTTTGGGAGCCTAAGAAGTAGTATCGTTTTATGTAGGTATAAATATACACAAGAAAGAAAACCATCTTCTATCTTGAAACCCTAAACTTACCTTTTCCACACATGCATGTGTATATATTTATATATAAATCATTAAGTAATCTCAGTAGTAAAAGGGAATATTGTTCTCCTTAAAGGTTTCGGATTCGAGGAGCTGCGTCTACCTTAAAGGTTTCGGATTCGAGGAGCTGCGTCTATAGAGTGTGTATACGTTGTCAATAGTTAAGAAATATTTTAAACATATATAATCTTGTAATCACTTCCGACTATATATATATATATATTCATGGTATTTATAATTTTAAGTTATTGGTTCCCTTACATCATGTGCGGAAATCAAAATTTGAATTTATTCTACAATTTATGTTTAAGGTTGTGACTACCATCTAGCTCAGTTGGTAGAGCACAAGGTTCTTAACCTTGAGGTTGTGGGATCGAGTCCCACGGAGGGCATTTCATAATTCGGAGGTCTCTTATGAAAGCTGTTCTCAACCTGGTGTTGGGGGTAGCCTACTATCTTGACTCCCCCTTACCCCATACATATGGGAAAAAGGGACAACGATTACTATAATGTATCTTACTACCCCATTCAATACTTGAATGTGATTTTAGCTATTCATTAACTTTCTTTTTAATTATTTCTCTATTATTAGGGGAAAAACTACTAACAGAACTATTGTATATCTATTAATTAACTGAAAATCTTTCGCTTGGGGGGGGGGACAAAATTATACCATATTTTCAAGTCCCTGATGGCCGCCCCTAAATTTCTTTATTCTTTAATCAGGGTTTAGGGGACTACATACTATAAAGAGCTTATTTTGTCAATGAAATGAATGATATATACAAGGTAGAAAAGACGTTTTACCTGATGAAGCAAGCAATTAGAATATTTCTAACGAATTACCACTACTCACCATTGAAATTAAGGACTACACACTATAAAGAGCTTATTTTGTCAATGAAATGAAAGATATATACAAGGTAGAAAAGACTTTTTACCTGATGAAGCAAGCAATTAGAATATTTCTAACGAATTACCACTACTCACCATTGAAATTAAGGTTTGTGTACTATATACCTAGCACCTAATAACCTGCTAGCTCGGTGATTTAAAACTAGGGTTTTGCACAAAAAGCTGATTGGCAAAGAAAAATGAAGAGTTGTCAATAAGGGTTTCTTCATAAAATTTTGCAGGAGAAAAAGATCTAATAAAATATAAGTAGCTTAGCATGCAAGATAAAGAAGCACACCTGTTACCAAGAATGGAGTGTAAATGGACGATGAGCTCTTCCTCTTGAGGCGAAAACGCACCCCGTTTGAGATCAGGTCGGAGATAATTGATCCAACGGAGTCGGCAGCTCTTGCCACACCTCTGCAGGCCAGCATTTCTAGCCACTTCACTCCAACAACCCTGGCCATTGGTTAACATATAGTTGACGAGCTTCTCGTCTTCCTCCGGCGACCATAACCCTTTCTTATGGTTATTAGTAGCGCCGTTACTGTTGTCACGGCTCTTCATCGATGGATCAGGCTTCCTCATCATCAAATCCAATCAATATCTCCTACAAGAAAGATAAACCTCGGATGCTACCGAACAAGAACAATAATCTGGGTGGGTTATTTTCGTTAAGTGTTGAAACTATAAGTTTGATGATATTAATGATAAGTGGACACCACTTTTATAGAATGGAAAGAAAAGAGAGATGGAGTGGGAAATGGTGGTGATGATGGTGGTGATGGATGTGGGGTTTGCTTAGAATATAGGGAAGGAGAGAGTTGGTTGATGGGTCTAAGTAGAGAACGGTTTCGAATGGGACTTGAAACACAAATATTTTAAAGATAGAATGATGTAGAAAGCAAAAGAGAGAGGAGTCTGATGCCATTTTCGTTGACTCTACTCCTATTCTTTTATTTCTTCACTCACAAGGCAGTCATGCATCATATATATATGAAATTATTAATCATATACAAATTGAAGAAAAATGAATAAAAAAGCAAACAAAATATTGGAAAAGATGGGGTTTGGTTTGTAAACAAGCCAAGATTTTAATTTGCTTCAAATTCACATAATCTTCTTTTCTTTTCTTTTTTTCCATCTCATGAACCCCAACGTACACGTGACCTTGAAGCTATAGATACGGGTACGAGTGAGTAGTATATATAATACCACATTATCTGATTACTCCTACACACTTGATATAATGTTTTAAATTCTCTCAATTATTTAAATAATTCTTATTTATGGAATGTGAAAGAGAATTTTGCTCATAATAAATAATGAATTCATAACTTAAGAAGGAACGTGTCAAGTAAGAGCTTTTAACGACACATACTCTAGAGATTGTTAACAGTTCTCTCAATTATTAAATTTTATACTAACGGTAGAATGATTTAACTTAATATAATATTTTCTCTGTCCTACTAAATTTATCCCTTATTGACTTTTTAAAAATAAAAAAATTAAACTTTAACTATAATTATTTTATATATTTTAAATAATTAAATTTCATAAAATATATATTTAAAAACTACTTGACGGATTTAAAAAATTACATATTTTTATTAATAATAAATATTAAATAATAACGAGTCAAAATTTAAAAAAATTGATAAAAAAATCAATAAGGGACAAATGTTCTAACATATATATTAAGTTTTGAACCACTTAGCTCCGTAAAGCTCATCGTTCAATTTTTTTTTTCGTGTTCAGGTTGATAGATTATTGATAATTGAGTCAGAACCATAATATATGCAAGAAGCTTTAGCATTAAATATAATATTCCTTTATGGACATATATATTCGTATGAACCTTAATCCTCATGTTGGTTTATGAATTCTATTTTAAAATATTTTGTTTATATTTTTTAGTAGAAAATTGATTTTATTATAAATATATCCAAACACAAATATTTATGATCATACTTATAATTAAACATATTTATGAAACTTTGGAGTTTAAAAGTAATACCTAATTTCAAAATTAATGATAGTTTGGATAGTTAAATATAACACTTACAAACTGTTATTATTTCAGATCAAAATTAAAATACTACTTATTTTATATAAGAAAAAAACAAATCATTTAATTTCCTTCCTTATCTCTAAGTCAAACCGATAAATCGTGTATGGCTGAAAGGCACGTAAAACACCACGTCAAGAAGAGCAAATTGTATTGGGTTTCAAACTCTTCAATATCCTTCATAAAGTTTAGAATATTGTCTTCACAATATACCAGTAATATTCCTTAAATAAAAAGAATCTTATAGCAAATGTAGAATGAAATAAAACAAAGCTATATGGGCTCTTCAAGAATATCAAATCCCTTGATTCTTGGAGACATAGGATTTTATGTTAGAGAGAGTAAATTTATAAAATTTTAAAAGATGACAAACTTATAAAATTTTAAGAGGATGTAAATATATATTTAATAAAAATATATAAGAATATAAATTTTTTAGGAGGGACAACTGCTTCCACCAGCTTTCTCTTTGGTTCATCCACGTCTATGAATATTTAGTTTCTTTGCACACGTAATACCTATTCAAATATAATCAAAACAATAGCATATTACAAGTAAAATAGTCAACATCCAAAACTGTTAAACGCAAACAATCACCATGAAATTATATTGTCTAAACAATTTTTACAGCACTATCTCAATAGTTCAATTTAACAATCAATGTTCTAACATTAATCAGAGTTTAGAATAAATTTTTTGCTATAAATGTATGAATTTATCATAAATAAAGCAGTGTAGATTATTGCTTTGAGTGTTGTATATTTCTATAAATCATTTAAAATTCGAAAATAACTATTTAATCATGTGGTTAACTATATAAGAGAAAATCATAAGTTTAAAAATGACATATTGTGATATATGCATTAATGCATGAACCTCGTAATAAATTTATATTTATATTTTTCTTACCTTTAAAAATATTTCTGAGTTGAGAGAGAAAAAAAAAGAAAAAGGAAAGAAATGGACCAACATATATGATTGACCTTCCAGATGTACCTTTTAGAAGCAATTGGATTAAGGGATAGATAAACCCTTTTTAACCTTTTACAATATATATTCGAGGGAAAAGAACCCAATGAGGAGGCAACAAGTTTTAGCTTCTAGAATTGAGGAACATACTATGGAGGCAGTATAAAGATTCCTTATCTGCCAAACAGATCTATGTTGGCTAAAGTGCTTAGATTAAGGGGAGGTAAAATTTGATTCAGCTCAAAAAATTAATTTCTTTAATTTGACTTAATTCAAAATTTTCTACTCAAATTGACTTCAAGTTGTAACTTTATAAATTCGACCCGAAAAAGATTTCAAGTTTAAACTGAGTTACAAAATACAACTCAAATAACTCAAATTTTTTAGTAATTGATAGATTAATTTTTAAGTTTGAGTCGAATTTCTTAACTTTGTATGATATATGTATATCACATATGAAAAAATATGAATAAATATATATGCATTGTATATGGTTATTAAAAACCATTTAAATTGAAATCAAATAGTATCATAATATTATAAATATTTACAATTAAATTTAAATATAAACTCGAAAACTTGACTCGATTTGGCTCGAAAGCATTTCAAATCAAGTTTGAGTTATAAAATAGGACTCGTCAACTCGAACAACTCAAAGAATTTTATTCGACTCGATCAAACACTCACCTCTGCTTAGATTATGTAAAAATAAGTATATAAAATTATAATTATTATTATATAAAGGTTATATTTGTTGTTTAATTTTTAATTCAATTTTCTTAATTATTGTAATATTAAAAAAAATTTAATTTCTAATATTTTTAAACATATATTATCCTTAAATTTAGAGGTTTGCACAAATTAATAAGACACCACTCCTCCCATAAATCATAAAATAATATATGCTTAAATATATTTAGACTCGTATTATTTTAAATATTATAATAATGATATCAATCAAACTAAAATTAAGATGTTATGTAAATTGGAATAATAGCTGTCAATATGAGAAATTGGGTGTCCAAATGCGGTAAATAGGGGAAAAAAAGTAAGAAATTAATTTCCATGCCAAGTATGAAAGGGGAACTATCCATTGAGATTCCTTAAATATATTAATGAATATTTTGACTAAAAACTAAATGTTTTAATGAATAGCATAAACTACTTTTGCAACTAATGTTGGTGTCAATTTAGGGTTGGGTTCGGATATTTTTTCTCCTAAATATAAATAAAAATCTTAGTTTTATGTGAATGCAAAATTTTAAGATAAAGATTAACATATCAGTGTGTGTGTGTGTTTTAAAAATGTTTCGTTAAAACACATAATGCTGTTTTTGACTTCAATTATTATCATGATTGCAATAGAAATTTTAGTGAGATAAGGCGGTGAAACCTACTTTTACGACAGGTCGGAAACTCATTAACCCTAGCAGTGGTAAGGAAATTAATCCTGCTTTACAGTAAGGTCGAAGTTTAATGTAAGACACAATCCTATTCAAACTCATTTAAAAGAGTTCACAAAGTATCCTACTTCTGTATGTTTTTGTCTTTTCACATGATTATATTTTTTAATTTTTTATGATAACACTTCTTTAAGGTTAGATCAATGATATAATAAGAATTAATGATGGATCTAGAAAATATTTTTGAGCGTAAACTTCTATATATATTAACATCATAAAATTCTTGTATGTACAAATTTTCTGTAATCCCACGAGAGCTGTATACTTTGCCATTGATTTTAATTCATATATTTAGCTGTATCTTAATTCATATATTTATATTGTTCTTCTTACATAACATAATCTATGTTATTTACTTTGATTACTGCAATTTTAGATCACATCGAATTCTATAAAGTTGTTTTTCCTTTATAGGTGATTCAACTATCCTCCCTCTCCCTCTGTTTTCACTCATTTGTTTAGAATTTAAATCCTCAACATTAATCATAAATTAACATCATTTTGTTTCAATTTATTAAATGAACTTATTGGAAAAACAAATAAAGGCTGCTGAGCCCATTACATTTGGTTTCAATTTTTAGCTGAAGCCCAACTTACTATCGACTTAACCAACAAACAACTCTAAATGACAACTAATTAAAAACCAATTTAACTATCTTAACATTCTCTCTGCATTTTCAAACTTTCTTTTTACAATGAGATAGATTTTCTGTGCAATTTAAAGCCCTTCTTCGAACAAAAAAACACGCTTTATTTAGTTAACAGAGAGCAAGGCTGTTAAACTCCCCCCCCCCCAGATTTTCTGTTATGAAAACTTGATTGTTAAACATCAAGTTCCTTGTATACCTTGTATAAGAAGCAAACATGCAATGAATAACAACACTACACTATAGTAGTAGTAACCAATATTCAACAATAACAAATTAACGCCGTTTTTCAGCAAATGAACATCGGAAGCAAACTGCCCTTCACTATGCCACAAAAATAACCACAAGTAAAAAAAAATAAGCAGTAACTATTCTTCATAACTGAAGGCTACCTATAACTTTGATTTCATTCAAACTGTAGTAGTTGTTGCTCACAATTCCGTA